GATCATCCGCTACTTCAACTTCTCCAGAGGTTTCTCAGCCCCACCTTCCCCCCATTATGGCGAGACAAGGACACATGGATTGGTGTAAAGGGGCTCATGAAATACATATAATAACTATGTTAGGATTGCTATGCAAATGGTGTGAGAACAAGCTATTCAATGTTCTAGAAAAGAAGCAGCATACTAAAAAGTGAGGTGCTAATATTAATCCTAGTACAACTTGAACACAATAACCTACAAGACATTCAGTTTTGGTTTGAGTTACGATACCCGACAGTCATATATTGGTTCAAGTCCAACCTAAGGCAGACTATTCATAAAAATCACAACTAGTTTTAAAGTCACCACAGTCTGAATAGCAATCTCTAACCCATTTTATTAACCCAAAAAAAAAAAAAAAACAAACATGTCCATATAGCATACCTTACATACCATGGTACTTTATGATGTCTGACTTGATGAATTATTCTAACAGAACGTATCTAAAGTATGCAGGAGAGAAATTAGATAGCCATGCAAGTAATCACAATTAATCTGCTCTTAGCTTTTCCTTTTTTTTTTCGCTCGTGCATGTGACACTAACTTGTAACACGGCTATATATTTATAAATCTGTCATAAATCTAGATGCAATCAACTTGTTCCTCTACGGAAAAGTGATCACTCTATTATTGAATAGAAAAATCAATGAGAGAATGTTCGATCTAAAAAATGGAACACAAACTATATGCTTAAAAGTATGAAGTCAGAAATGCGTCCTAATTAGTCTAGAGACAACCGATTAATCAAATGAGTTAGCCTCCAATGCTTATGGCTTTTTTGTGAAATGATGAAAAGGAACACATAGATGCCAACACAAATAGGAACACATTAGTTTGTTGAACGTAGTTTAATTTCTTTTGGTTTTTTCCTTCTGCTTCTAGAAGATTTGTTTTAGTCGAAATAGTAGTTAGGGCTAAAAAATCTATAAAAATTCACATTACAATTCCTGTTTTGAAGAAACATTTATTAATTTTACTTGGACGACTTTGAAACAAAAAGCCATATTGATATTAACAATTGGGTTCTCCATATCACTAGAAATATAACTCAGCAAAAATAAAACAACTGAAGAAAAATAACCCACCTAAATTAAACACCAAATATGGAAAGCTACGAGCATAAAGGGTTCAGTATCACTAACAAATATTGCGTCAATGTTCGACCCAAATCAAGATAAGGAAAAGGAGTAGTAGGCGAATGGAACTCCATTTAACCAAAGTGATAATGTACTAGAAGCTTCGTTTTTTTTTAACATCAAAGGCGGAAAGAAATTCACCAAAAATAACATAACATACCAAGTTTAAGGGAAACTAACATTGAACTAGAAGCTTCTTTTTAAACATCATAGAGGAAAAATTTCCCATAAAAATGCATAAAACCTCCAAGAAATTAAATCGAAAGCCATGCAAGAACGAAAGAAATCTTATTTCATGGAGATCATAATCAATTAAGCTGATTTCAAAGTGGTCCCATATTCATCGATATAAAAGTGATCAAAGGATTTCTAGGGCACATAAGATAAGGGAAAATTGTTAGTTTATGTAGTCTAACTTATCTGATACTCAGAACAAGAGAAGGACCAAAGAAATTTTGTTTGGAGTGACTTATTGAATATGGGGTGAAACTACCCAAAATTATGCACTAATTTGATCTTCATTTAGATACATATTCTAACAAAAGGACCTTGCCACACAATCATAGAAAATAATCTAAAAAGAGCTATTGAGCCCCAAAACAATTAGTAAACCAACATAAGGAGGAAGATGTACCTGGACTTCTGAGAGAGAGAGAGAGAGAGAGAGGCAAATCGGCACTCCAAGAAATTAGGTCAAAAGCCATGCAAATGC